TTACGAAAATTTCCTAGTAATTACTGTAATTGCCGAAAATTCTTATAGTTTTTGAGAGTAGGGATGCTTAAGATTATATCTCTATTATAATATCTCTACGACAATAAAAGAAATTATAGAAATTTCCGTAATTGCCAAAGTTTCCTAGTAACTACTGTAATTGCCGAAAATTCTTATGCGTTTTGAGGGTAGGGATGCTGAAGATTATATCTCTATTATAATATCTCTACGACAATAAAAGAAATTATGGAAATTTTCGAAATTACGAAAATTTCCTAGTAATTACTGTAATTGCCGAAAATTCTTATAGTTTTTGAGAGTAGGGATGCTTAAGATTATATCTCTATTACAATATGTCTACGACAATAAAAGAAATTATAGAAATTTCCGTAATTGCCAAAATTTCCTAGTAATTACTGTAATTGCCGAAAATTCTTATACGTTTTGAGGGTAGGGGTGCTTAAGATTATAGCTCTATTATAATATCTCTATGATAAAAAAGAAAATTATAGAAATTTCTTGGTAATTTCGTCCGTAGGTGCTCTTAGGTTGCGTTATTGCTGATAAATTTCCATCGGTCGATTCGGTATTTACGGAAATTATCTAGTAATTTGCTGCAATAGTATGGGTGATTGCTGAAGTTTCCGTGAAATTTCTTTTATGTTGTCGTGGTAATTTCCGAAATTTCCAGGAAGTTTGTTTGTCATTTGTTTGAAATTTGGGAAATTGCGCGGAATTTTCTTTCTGACGGAGTGGTAATTACTGGGTTTTCTCAGAATTTTCTCTTGTTGTGTACGAGTCTGTGAAGATGCTATGAATGTTGGTTTCGTAATTTCGGAAAATTACTTTTGCGGAAATCTGAACATACCTCAAGAATAGCATAGAAGAACTTTTGAAAATGTCGCGGAACTTTTCTCCCACACAATATGTCAGCCAAAAAAATCTTTCGAAGTTAGAGTCGAAAAAAAAATTGTTTCCACAAGGCTCTATTCAGGAATCCAATTATGATCTTCTTCTTTCTTTCTAAATCACATATAATATTTGTCATTCATATGAAAGTATTGAATAATAAAGGATTTCATGAAATTTTTATACATCCATTTACATCAGAAATTGAATTCTAATGTCTTTCTCATTTACTTTTCTGCTTTGCTAAAATATTGGTCGAAGATTATTTTGATATTAATTATTCCATGTATGTCTATGTCAATGATTTTAATAATTACAAGAGTAAAACTGAATCAACACTTATAAATTTCAATTTGAGTCTATACATATTGAAATTATGCTGAATACTTATAAGTTAACTTATATAATTAAGTTAATTTTTAATGATATATTAAGGTCTTTTAAAAAAAGCAAAATTTAATTTTAATAATAATTTATTGTGACAGAAGAAAATTTTATTTATAAAACAAAAAAAAAAGAAAATAAACTTTTTTGAAAAGTTAATTTTTTTTTGAGCAAAATAATAATTTTTCTAATGCATTACGAAATATTTTTCCACCAGCTAATGTATATATATAAAATGGTAAAGCACTTTCTAAGAATGGTAAAAGAAGTTCAAATTTATATAAAAAACGATCGAAATCATATTCTAATTGTGATTTATATGTATTAAATGTTAATGTAAAATATACTTTATGAATTGCTTGTGGAAAAGTTAATACAATAAGTGAAATAACTTGTAATAAAAGCATTCGTCGTAAATAACGATCAAGTTTTTTCCATCGTTGTCTAGTTAATTTTTGCAATATAAAACTTCTCTTATTTAAATGTTGTTTTCGAAGTATTTTTTCAGCTTCTTTATAAGTTCGTACTTGACGTATATTTGATATTGTCATTATACCAAATGTTGTCATTGAAATTAAAGGAAATAAAATAGTAAAACATCCATATATTATATCGGTTAAAAGACGACAAGTTGTTGTTTTACCATAACATCTTAATGGTGTATTTATAAGATTTGCTTTATAACAATAAAACATTTGTATATAAAGAAGAATTGAAATAATACTAATAATTAAAGAACCTTTTTGAGCATTTTTTAATGAACTTAATTGTCGAAATTGAATATTATATGATGATATTAACCATCGTTCAATAGTTGCTAACATAATTAAACCTAATGCAATTGTTCTTGATGTAAACATAATAAAAGCACGTAATTTACAAAGAATATCATTTGTTGCTGTTAAATCTAATTGCCAAGTTGATAATATTCTTGGTGGTAAACCAGATAATATTGATATAAGATTAGCAATAGATGAAATTAAAAATAAAAAAACACATGGATTTGAACGAATTGATCGTTGTGTTAAAACAAGTATATTAAGACTATTCCCAATAGTGCCAAAGAAGAATATAAATAATGAAAAATAACAAGTTAATGGTGCACTTGTTGAATTTAAAGTTTCCATTATATAAGTATATATTGATAATACCATGATATTATAAATAGAAAATATGAATTACATTAATATTCAACTTTATGCCATGTTGTCATTTTCTACAATTATTAATTATAAGTAGAATTAGAGTAATTTCCGTTTGTTTTCATCCCACACATTTTTCTGCATGATGAAATAAATATTAACAGTACTTAAAATATTACACATCATTGTGATCAAATTTATAAGAAGAGACTTATCTTTTTTTTTCAAATTTCATTTCCAGTTAGTTACAGATTTACTTTTTAAATAAAAAGAATAAAATGTGTTTTTTTTTTTATACAATTATGCCAATTGCTGTGCGACAGCTGTTACATTATTGAATTATTTACTTTCAAGTCATTCATTTTGTCCAATAGAATAAGTAAACATTCTGAATCGATTTGTCTTATGAACTTTATGCTATAATATTTTAAAAGGTCAGTTACTAGAAGTGTTTGGTCATATGGTTACTGTGAGTATAACTAAAGAAAATGCAACTTTCATGTTATGAGTTTTACTTTAACAGTACTCATATATAGATATATTAATGCATTGGATGAAACATGAATAACAGTGACGGTCTTTTTTTGATGTAACTAATATCTTTTTTTTTAACAACAATGGATTTGAGATTAAAATAAATTCATTAGAAAATAAAGTTTTTTTGATGTTAAAATAATATGAATTCATAGGATTAGCGATTTAAAATTTGTATACTATCATCATTAAAATGGTTACTTGCAATGGCCTAAATGTAATGAGAGAGTGAATGTATGTTACAAGTGTTACAGTTTAATATCAGTCTTAGCAATGTCTTAGAAAGAAGAAAAAAAAACTTATCTTGAAAGCCAGAGGCGGTAATACTATCAAGTCATATTATAGCTAAATATAAAGACGATTAAATTTAATGAACAAATTATGCCGAATTTAACCATATACACAACGAATGATTATAAAAGTATAAGCTAGAAAAAGCATGATAAATCATTTCTGGGATATCTGTTATTTTCTTCAAAAAAAAAAAAAACTTAATGATAGATGTAACTAAGGATGGTCCAAAAGTTTCGACCCCTCTCAGTAAATTAATGATATCTATAAGAAACTTATATGAAGTTATTGATCATATTATGTCATTTTGTAGAGGAAGATTAGAGCTATCATCTGAAAAAAAATAGTTCAAAATATATAAATATATTAAAATCTTATGGTTATTTTACTAATCTTGAGTGAAAAGTTTTACGTTACATTTTTTAAAATAAACAAAATACGTTTGTAACATCTTAAGCGACATATTGTTTTCTAGATATTTTTACATGATTCGAGAGAGTTCGATAAGCTCTACAAGAATATGTATGTTTACAAAGCTTTTGATCTTATTTTGAATAGGAACCTTCAATGAAACCAGAAAAACCAAGAAAAATTTCATGTATAAAATGTTAGAGAGAGTAGGTTGATCTTTCAAAAGTTTTAGCTGGTTGACTGTTCCATCTATTCAGGTAGTTCAGAAGAATTATTTTCAGTTTCAGTATATAACCCTGCATCTCGAAACATCAATTAACAGTCGATCAGCTAAAGTCTTTTGGACTTTTAAGCATACTATCTCATGAAAGCTATGCAAGATTTTTATTAGTTTGCGTGGTTTCATTCGAGTTTTATATTGAAAACAGGATTCGAATTTTTCTTGATATTCATATTTTTGTAAAGCTTTTTGACTTCTATCAAACTATATAAAAATGTCTATTAAAAACATGTAGAAAATAATATTTGGCTTGACTTTAACGACTCAAACATTAAAATTATTTTTTGATTATTTCAAAAAATGTAACGTAAAAATTTTCACTCAAGATTAGTAAAATGACCATAAGATTTTAATAGATTTATATATTTTGAACTATTTTTTTCAGATGATAGCTCTAATCTTCCCCTACAGAATGACATAATTTGATCAATAACTTCGCATAAGTTTCTTATAGATATCATCAATTCACTGAGAGAGGTCGAAACTTTTGGATCACCCATTAGTATGCAATGACAAGAATAGAACTTCTTTGTTAATGCCTTAGTTTATTAATAAATAAAAAAGAAGAAGGAATGAGAAGTATTATGCATATAAATTATTAATTAACAATATTATAATAATATAAAAAAGAAAAATATTAAATAAATCATTTCAACTAATAAGCATTCAAATATTGAGGAATTATAAAGTTAAGAATAAATTTAGGATACATGTCGAATAATAAAGTATATAATGTATTGAATAGAGAATCGATTCTTAATATTATGAAAGAAGAACAAACAAAAAAATCAGTGCCATTGATAATCATTATTATTCTGCACAGAAAAGATTAACATGTCTTGTTAATACAAACAATTTCTATTCTAATACGATGCACTCATTTAAAAGGAACACATAGACAATTTTAAAAACATAGTGCATCTACATAGATCAATGGTTTCATTAAGAAAATAAGTTTCTATATGCCTCTCATTACTCAATGGATTTAATAAGAAGCTCAATTCAAAAACGATTATCTAAAGATGCTTTATACAGATCTTGAAAGAAGAAGAATTTAAAATTATAAACTTGAATACTATGAAAAAGAATCATATTTTGGAACTAATTATTATATAAATTACTTTCTCCTTTTTAGCATACAATATGAATACAGAATTCATTGGTATAGAAAAATCTCAACCAGTCCTTTTCTTAAACAAAGCAACATTGACCTACTTTAATACAGAAGAACTATCGAAGATCCTACTTTCGTATTCTGAAGAGGTAGCTGTTGCTTTAATAACTATTCATGGAAAATTACTATCATCGTAGTATTTACTATTTATTCTTTAACATTCCGTATCTACGAAGTGTAAAAGAATAAATAACAAATGCTATTTATATTAGTAGCTTTTAGCAAAATCTTCTTCAATGAAATACTTTCGCTTAGTCATTTGCCTCATTCATATTCATTCTAACAAGTTCTTAAATTTTCCAGACTGATAATGATGTACTTACCCAATGATTAGTTAAAATAACAGTGTTATTATTTATCATAAATAAATATAAACAACTTTCCTCAAGTTTAAAGTGTCAATTACGATAGAATTTTTTGTATTTCTTGGGGGAAAAAAAGAATGTTATAATCATGTCTTATGATTTCTAAATGACTACATTCTATCAATGTATATATTTGGGAAAAAATGAAAAGTATAATTATTATGTGTGTTCAAAAACAAGTAGAAAAAAGAAACAAAGTTTTACTCTATGTATTTTAACAATGACTAGCAATCATAATAACCAAGAACAAAGAAAACGAGAGAAACTCTTCGCAATATGTTTCTAAGAATTTAAAATGTACGCTTGTAACATTTTTATCCCAAGAGAAAAATAATATGAATTGAAAAAGAAGAAAAGTTTGCTTGAATGTTTTTTTTACTTTAAATATTACTGCTTATCATTAATTACGTGATTCAATCAAAGACATTCGTCTTTTTAATTACGTGTCAACTAAGTTTATAAATCTTCTTACCAGTTAAAGATAATTATTATTTTTTTTATTAGAGGACTTTCTTTTTTTTTTACGTATTTATATAAAGGATCATATTGAATGCAAATTAAAATACTTTATTCGCAAATGTCATTGATATAATTTTAGGTGCATTTAATATTAAAGTTACATTGTTAAAAGCAACTTTAGGCGTTCAATCGAAAAACAAACATTAATTCTCTAACGTTTTCATATATTTCTTAGCGTTCAAGGTATAAAAGAAAAGACAGCAATAATTATTATATACATATAGCATTATTATGATTAAAATACATAAATAGATAAATTAAATATTACTATTAACTTGTCATTTCTTATTATAACGATATGATTTTAAAGAAAGTAAAATTTCAGAAGCTGTACTAATTATTACTAAGAATGAAATGATTCTTAAATAATTTCGAAAAAAATAAATAAATACAAACTATAAATTTAATATAATTCAAATATACTTACAGAAATATCTTTTTTTTTAACGAAATCTTCATCTCAAATCCATGAAACAAGCAATACTAATTGTTTTTTTAGCATGTTATAAAGTACTCTCTTTTTCTTTTTTATTTCTATTATGTAAAACAAAATAATTTGGTATTTAATCCTATTATTAAAATAAATACAGCTATTGATGTACATTAAGCTAGTGAATATTATTGTAAAAATTGTTACTTAAAACTATTCGCTGAATTTGTCGCAAAGAAAAAAAGAATGTCATCTCTTCAGAATTTGTTACTGTAACCTATGAAACAAACATCTATAGAACAGAAGGATCATATAGACCATAAGAATGTCAAACAAAGATAAAAGAAAGAAAAGAGGAAATGAAAATTTCAATATCGGTAGACATATGAGAATGAGAAAAAGACAAAATGTATTGTTATAGTTTCTCGCCGTTCAGTCAATTTTCTAATTTATGTTTTCTTTCCGCGAATATAAGTTTTTTTTCTACTGAACAAAAGGTTTCTTAATAAATTAACTTATAGGAAGCATTGTTGTGAATAACTAAACTATGTTTTCATTGTTACTGAATAATCTTACTAGTTGAACTCATAATGCTCAATTAGAAAATGTGCTATCTTTTAGAAGAAGTAATATTCTTAAAAAAGTTAGTAGTTTTTTTTTTCTTTTCATTTCGTTCCTATAGTTAGCATCTGATAATTAACAAGAATATTTATATCTTTGTTGTTCTATGTTTCAGAATAAGATTGTAATAGATAATAAATGCATTAGTTCTTTTTATTTTGTTTGATTATATAAAACACACACATTACAGAAGTTAATCAAGTTTATGTGAGTGTCAAAGAACCATTTAGTTAGGTTTTTTTCTTTATTGAACTTTTTTTGATGATGAAGTATTGAGTGTTTTAGCTCGTTGTTTAAACATATGCTTGTACATTGTTGGAAAATCTAAATAGAAAGAGAAAATTTATTATCGCTTGAATAAAAATAATTCTTCATGATTTCTATTGAGGAATATATTAGTAGTAAAAACTCATATGTTATCTGTTTCGTAGAAATAATAGAAAGTACGAAAAAATAAAGTTTTTTGCTGAATTACAGAAAAAAAACAGATTAGCTTTTATAATCTAAGATATTAATAAGCTTTATATAATTTATAGTTAAATATTCATTGAAATGTCAAAAACAATACAGACTTCTATACAGAGTGTTTTCAAGATGTGACAAAATTAATTTTTATGCACATAGAAAATAACCCATAATAGAAACCTTTTATGACTCTTGTTAATACTTTTCTATAGCATATATTCTCTTGTAGTAATAAAAAAAAAATGAATGTAAGAATAAATACTTTGTAATTGTTTAACGTAACTCTTATTATTTATCATATTCAATTTACACAGCGTTCTTCATGATCCTTTAATTACATGTTCAGTCAAACTATATACTCAAGTAATTAGATTAAAATGAATCAAATAAATGAAAACATTGAAAGAAAAAAAACAAAAATTTGTAATGATTAATAAAATTTCTAAGAAATTCTCATGTTTTTCTTTTAAAATAAAATATCATATTGTTTGATTGTAAAAAGTTAATTCTCACATATTCATCTGTATTGTTTTACTATTACAAGAGACAATATTATTTCATAATATGTCATTAGAAAGATAGACAAGAATATTTAACATTCATATCAAAACATATGCTTAGAGATTATTTTCTGTCTACATATAAACTAATTTTGTTGTGTCTCAAGAGCTATGAAATATTTAGTAGGATACATTTTTTTTAATACAATGTAAATGTACCTATTGACTGTCTACTTTGTATAAATATTTCATAGAAATAAAAGTAAACTTACATGTATACATAAAAAGAACAATCATAAGCCAATAAAAATAATCAAAACCAAAATTGAATTTATTTGGTAGAAGAATTGAATATCGATTTCGAATTGCTTCTGGATAGATTATTTGCATTGCTTTTATTATTGTTAAAATTTCACCCTATTAAAATAGAAAATAAAAGAACTTGAATATGTTTTTTTTTGGAATGATAAATCTTACTGTTGCACCCAATGGATAGAGTACAATAAAAAATGAATATCTAAGAATACATATATTCATATTTAAAAAAAATAATAATAATAATTCAACTTACCGACACCATGTAAGTAATTGAGGAGCAGCTTGAAATAAATTAAGTGTATAATAAGAATAACGAATAATTTCTGTAATACTCCATGCTGTTACTGCCAAAAAAATACCAAGTGAAAGTTGAGCCTATGTAGGATAAAATATTAATTAATAATTATTCGATTTAAAATTTCTCTATTCATAAAAATTATTAATTGTATTTATAAAAACAAAAAGAAGATTAGAAAAAAATTCGATAAAAAAACATAAATATTTTGAAAATTTCATTATTATATTATATAGATTAGATTTAAAATATACAAGTAAACTTACTTGTGGAATATAATTAGCTACACCCCAAACAAGAAAAACACGAGAAAAAATTTGAACAAAAACAATCATTGGATTTGATCGAACAAGACCAAGCATAGCATGTACGATCTTTTAATAAAAGAATATTAATTTAAATATTCAATGAATTAATATGTATAATATTCTTACTTCAAGAAAAGCAGCTGTTTGACAAATTTTAAGTGGTAATTCAATAACATTCCATAATCCACGACATTCCCATAAATCACTTATTGACTTATAAGAACCTACTTGTTTTACTATTTCATATAAAATATATGCCCATCTTAATATTAAAAAACAAATCATAGAAAGTTATATTTTTTTTTTTTTTTTTTTTGAAATAAAATATTTTACAAACCCAACAGTAAGAATACTATTATAGATAAGTAAATAAAAATTTGCTAATGATGACAATGATTCTTTTTGAGTCGTAGATTTTTTTCTTGAATCCATTATCTATAAAGCAAAAAAAAAAAGAAATTTAATTATTTTGCTTTTTAAGACAAAATATTTGCAGATCGAAGTTTATGTATGTATGTATGCTTACTAACTCTATCAGTTTTAATAGAAGACTGGGCATATAAGACAACCATTCTTGTTGCCTTTAAAATTCGTTATTGGTGACATCTTAAGGATGTAGTTATGTACATAGAGGTTGTATCTATAATAAATGCACTCTATTCCATTACATTTGAATATAACTATACGATGATTGACCTAGTTTTTTTTTTTTGACAAAGAAAAGTTAATTCAAATTAAATTTATTACGCCATACAATAAATAGAAGGCTGTTAAATTTTTTATTAAGATAGTAACAACGCAATAGTACGTATTTTTTTCTCTCATAGACCTGTTTAATATTGATGTAAGTTTTTAATTACGAAATAACAAATTAGATGTAAAACTGAGTGTATATGTCGATTTGTCACTTGTAACGTATAGCTTTTAGAATTTAACTATAAATTCTAATATTTATTTTAGTATAAAATATAAAGTATGAGAGTGATGATGAAAGCCTACGTAAATGTAAGCAATTAATATTTCTTGTCGGATGATTTTTCTTCTTATACCATCAATATTTGTGATCATTAATTAAAAGTTAAATCTCTTACGAAATAATAATTTATTTCAATCTTATGAAAATAATTATGATTTTTAAAAGAAAAATTGTTTAGTTATTGAATTTGATTTTTCTTTATAAATAAATATTACGTATTATATTTAATGTCAAAGATTAATGAAAACAGAAACAAGTAATGAAAATAAAAATAACATTCAAGAAATAGAAAGTGTCTTATATCTTAAATATGACATAATACATCGTTATTTATTCCTTCTTGTAATATTAGTATTTGTTTTGACGAACTTGTATTTTAAAAGTAAAACGATCTTGGATTCTATTATCTGAAATCATGAACATGTTATGCTAAAGCTAAAATAAATTTGACTGTCTTAGAATTAATGTTTCATTCAATAATTAGTGCCTAAAAAAAAATAATGTTGTAGAATATGGAATTATCATTTAGATAATATAATCGAAATTTGTATTGATAATTTGATCTTTTATAAGTAGTATAATTTAATATCTCAAAAGAATAACTTTGAAAACATATCTTCTTGTCTTGAACAGTACAATATTCTTATTCGTACAAAATAGATTCTATTCAAATAATTTCAATATTTAGTATCAATGTTAACAACAGTAAAATTATTCATTCAAAAGACATGATATAAGTCATGAGTTTGTACTTCTCAAATGGCTCATTCGATATAAAGTTTAACATTGAATATGAGTTTGAAGTCAGATTTTTGCTACGAATACAAGAAAACAAGTTATGGATTGATGTTTAATTCGTAAAATTCTCGTAGTTGTTATTGTTTTCATGAATAGTATTGAATGAGAATCATGTTTCTTGAATAATTCGACTCAATCGAACTCCAAGTAATAGCCAACTTATCCTTAATGATTGATATGCAGTCAAGATGTTGTCGAAGAACTTAAGATCTTAGGCAAGAAATGTCACGCTCTCATTTTAATTGTGAAAAATCTATCTGTATCCAAAATTCAATTACAGATTGTGATATAAGATGTTTGACTAGAGTGAATACAGCTGTAGAAAAGTATATTATTGTTTTCAATGTATGCATCAATATTTTTATTCACTGATTTTAAGGTCACTACAATTAAAAATAAAACTTCACATGAACCGGGTTTTCTCGGAAGGTACACATATTCTTTTAAGTCTTGAAATCTGATGTTCGATTACGAGTTTTCGAAAAATATAGAATTTTGTTTGAAAAAAAAACAACATAAATATAACATGTTATAAGTCTTATTTTTAATATTATCATCTGTCAGTGTAATCATACGATTGGTTTCAATCATATGTCTAAGCAAGTTGAAAGAAAAGAATGTTAATAACAGTCAATAAAATGAAGAAAGTATAAAAATTTGCACTCTATTTTAAACATGAAAAAAAGTCGTTGATTGGTACTTGTTTCACACTACTATCTATGATAATTCGATCTTCGAACTAGAATAAAAAGTATCGAGTATATTCTTGTTAATAGAAAATTTTCTATATTTAATATTTAATTATTTATGTTCGATACACATACGTATATATGAAATAGCCCGATAATTAGAAATTTTAGAGACATATTTTAAAATTCTGATTATCATAATAATTTAAATAGTATTTATAACTTCGATCAACTTACTAACTTCTTATTTTACCAATGATCTAAGACGAAAGAGTACCTGTTTACAATAACTATTGATGTCATACACACGATTATTCACAGTTAAATAACTTTTTGCGTAGATTTTATTGTACTAGTAGAAATTATAGCTGATAAAGACAACTTTAATTCCTAATTTAAATACATCAATAATGTCATCTTTATTGTCTAAACATGGCTCATCAAAATTATCTGCTCATCCTGACTTCATAATGGTTATTACATTTGATCGATTCCATCATATTCTTAAAATCATACAATTCATTTTAATTGTAATGAATTTGTTTATATGTATTCTTCTGCATTTCTAGTAGAGACTGTTTTTGACTTCAACTTTATTTTTCTTTGTGTTAGTCTGTGCATGTTAATTTAATATGATATGTTGCATATTAAATTTTGGAACTCATCTATTTCTAGTTCATTCTCTTCTTACTAATATGTTATTTTATCTTACTATTAAGTTCGTTTTTTGATGTAGATACTATATTATTAGCGTCTTTATAGTCTTACTGGAATCAAATAGCTTTATAAGACAGATAGGAAATTAAAGTAGATTCATATAACACTGTTCTATATTTTCTTGATACACAAATTCTAGTTGCTGGAAGTTTTATTCAAATTTATTTCTTCTTTTATCTTCATTTAAATTAGGATTGATGTAATATAATGTACGAACCTTCGATGCGATAAATATTTTTAAACTGTTTATAAAGTTGCAAAGAGTACAACCTTGATCATTCAATTATTAGATTAAAACTTTTCGTTACATAAAATATTCTGGCTTAGTTTATATTCAATAATGTCTTCATTATGTACGAGTAACCAATTTCTTTTGTCATAAAGAGACCTAAACAAAAGTCATTAAAATACAGTAATGCAATTGTAGTCACGCAATGTAACGGATCTAAGTATTAATATCCATTTGAAGAAAAAAACTAACACGAATGGTTATTTCTCAAATCACTTTACATTTAAATCAACTAATTGTTTCAAGTTTGCATCGTAAAAGATAAGCTTTTTTTTATTGTACTGATGATGAAATTGAAATGACTTGCAAATATTAATAAACAAAGCAGAATCATAGATGAGCAGTCAACAACTCTAAGATAGGCTAAAATTTGTTGTCGCAATTCTATAAATGTAATACTGGTAGCATCTGGACAAGTTATTTTCATATTCACTTTACTAATGTGAAACATTTTTCGATGATAATGAATCGATAGGCTATTTTGTTTTTTTCCTACACTTGAACAAAGGCATGTTTACAATTTTTTAAGTTTTTCTCTTAAAATTGAACTTGCTTTGTAATAAAAGTCAAAGTTGTTCAAAACGGTGCCTTATGTAAGATCGTTTTGTGTGCATATTTCTTTATATGTTTTAAATCGTGCTATGAAAAAGCTAAGGAATGATTTTATTGAGAAATTCATTTTTTTAATGACAATTATTCATAGAAAAAGTAAGAATACTTGTAATCTCATAAGTCAATAAGTTTGTCTTGTAACACTAGTTTAATGTAGTATTTCTAGCCAGTCATATTTTTCGACGCATCGTAGTTGCGTATAGTTGCATCATTGCATGCTTGAATTCAAGGCGAAAGGCACGTGATGCGCAGATATATATCCAAAATGGCAGAGCATTGTTCAGATAGAGAAGAGAAATGATTGAGCAAAGTATGTAATAAAAGATTCAATTTGTTGCCGTTCACTACTCTTGTTTATTGATGTCGTAACAGTTGAATATACGAGTGTGATTGTATACGGCGTTGTGGTAATTAGATAAACAATCACTTCGATCAATATTGTTTTCATCAGGTCTCGATCTCGCTTACGAAGAAGACCTTGTCTGACACCTCCACCTGTTATGGGTTGAACACGAGCATGTATTTATTTCAAATTGACCATAAGTAAGAAACCAAATGTTGTCATAGCATATGGTGGTAGGAGGCCAGTAGTAATGATATTGTAGATAGTATAAATAAGAACATGGAGATTGTCGAATCTACCACATTTATCATTTTCGATTGACTGAAATACCAGTATGAAACTTGTTACGACAAGCCAAGTAATAACAACGCAGGGAGTAAGACTAATCGCCACATAATATTGACTAAATGAACGAATACGTGGGCGCATGCTGCATAAAGCATATCGATCAAAACAAGCCAAAATAATGAATGAACGCATCATTTGATTTGGTACATGACGGAAATAATATTGTAGTTTACAAAATAGAAGAGAAGTCGAACTTGTATCAGGATGATCCAATGAATAGATGAGAGATATTAAGCCAATGTTCAAAGCGAAGAATCTACAAGTAGTTGCGCTTAATAGATAGAGGGAGCATGGATTTCGACGATGAGCCGATTGACAGAAAATAATTATGCTCAAGAAACAACCGATATTACCAAACACTAGGTATGTTGTCATTTCATAGCGTGTCAGAATTTGTTGAACAATTTTAAGTTGAGAAATCAAGGACGACATAATCTCCAAATTTTGAGAAAGAATAAAGATAAAAAATGAAGAAAGATTACGTCTCTAACACAATGTATTTGTCTTTGATGAGTACAATAAATTATATTTTTTATTGCTGTGGTATGAGACGTGATGAACACAATCACTTATTCATTCGTATATCCTTCAACATAGTCATAAATAGTATGTTAATTGAACAATAACGCAGAAATGAATATATTTGAGCGATGGGCATCT